CCGGTGCAGCAAGCCAGGTCATAAGGCTGCTGACTGCACTGCTGCACCGGGGTGTGCGATCTGCTCCGAAGCAGGAAAACCGGCGGGCCACTGGCTGGGGAGCAAAAGCTGCTCCTCACGGAAGCAGATCGCCAAGAAGGGGCCGGCACCCGCACCTCCTGCGACCGCCGCCGCCGTAACGACTAATAGTTACGCAGGGTTGGAAGAGGAGACGGCCGCTTAATGGCTCCCAGGTCCCTCCGTCTCCTTCAGGCAAACACGAACCACGCAGCCGCAGCTCAGGATCTTCTCCTCCAGAGTGCGGCTGAGTGGCTCGTGGATCTGGTCGTAGTCGCCGAACCATACAGAGTTCCGCCATCTGTAAATTGGTTCGGCGACTCCGACGGCCTGGTTGCCGTCATCCGAGTCGGGGGGAGTTCTGCCTCCCCTCCCTGTTCGCCCCTTTTCAGGGGCCGGGGCTACGTAGGTGTGAGTTGGGGGGAAATCGTCGTCGTCGGAGTGTACTTCTCTCCCAACAGGACCGTCGCCGAATTCGAACAGTATCTGAACGGGCTGGCCACCGTTATAAGTGTCCATTCGGCCCGTTCAGTGCTCGTCATGGGGGACCTCAATGCCAAATCCATGGCTTGGGGTTCCCCCAGTACTAGTGCGCGAGGCGCGGTCCTGGAGGATTGGGCGGTGGCGTCCGATCTCGCAGTTTTAAATGTGGGATCGGTCGCCACATGCGTGCGATGGCAGGGGAATCTATAGTGGATATCTCCCTTGCCACTCCATCCATCGCACGCCGGGTGCAGAGCTGGCAGGTGATGGACGAGGTGGAGACCCTGTCGGACCATCGTTATATCAGGTTCGACATTCTCCCCCCGTCCGGAGCTCCGCACCCGGATCGCCCGGAGAGAAACGCTCCGACGTTCCCCAAATGGGCACTGAAGCGTCTCAATAGAGACTTGCTGGTGGAGGCTTCTATAGTGCAGGCCTGGTCACCATCTCCATCCAGGCCTGTGGAGGTAGAGGAGGAAGCTAATTGGCTCGGGGAAGCCATGGCCCGCATCTGTGATGCGGCCATGCCCCCAGCCCCCCCACCCCCACCGAGACGTCAAGTGTAAAGGTGGGGCGGAGAGATAGCGGCCTTGCGAGTTGAAAGCATGGCCGCTAGACGCCAGTACACTAGGCACCGCCGTCTCAGGCGGGGCCGCGACGCCGCTATAGAAGCTGAGCTGCACGCGCAATACACGCAGAAGAAGAAGACGCTGCAGCTCGCCATCAGCAGGGCCAAAGAGAGAGCCAAGGAGGAACTCCTGGAGACTCTCAACAAAGATCCATGGGGGCGCCCATACAGGAGCGTAAGGGGCAAACTACGCCCCTGGACGCCCCCCGTGGCAGAGAGCCTCCAGCCCCAGCAATTGGAGGGGGTGTTGACAGCTCTGTTTCCAGAGCAGCCGGAGTTCACACCCCCCCCAATGGGGCCGCGCGGTCGTCAACAAGACGGCGGCGGCCCCGTAGATGCTGGGGTGCCAGTAATAACGACGGCGGAGTTCTCCACGGCCGTGGACAGGCTCCGGGGCAAAAACACCGCCCCGGGACCCGATGGTGTTCCCGGCCTCGCTCTCTACTTGGCCCTCGGTGCCCTTGGGGACCGACTCCATAGCCTCTTTAACGAGTGCATGGAGTCGGGACGATTTCCCAACAAATGGAAAACGGGCAGGGTAGTCCTGCTCCGTAAGGAGGGACGCCCCGTAGATTCCATCTCTCCCTCGGCGTTCCGCCCGATTGTGCTCCTTGACGAGGTCGGCAAACTGTTTGAGAGGGTTATAGTGAGCCGCCTCGTCAAGCACCTGGTCGAAGTGGGTCCCGATCTTTCCCCGAATCAGTTTGGTTTCCGAGAGGGCCGGTCCACAATAGATGCGATCGCGCAAGTCCGTGCCCTCTCGGAGAATGTGGTTGCCAAAGGGGGTGTTGTTGGCGGTATCCTTGGATATCAAAAATGCCTTCAACACCCTCCCCTTCGAGTGTATAAGGGAGGCACTAAAACATCATAGAGTGCCTCCCTACCTGAGGGACGTGATCGGGGCCTACCTTCAAGAGCGGAAGGTGGTGTGCATCGGGCGGAATGGCGCGATGGTAGAGAGGGAGATGCAGCGCGGTGTTCCACAGGGATCGGTTCTGGGTCCGGTCCTGTGGAACATCGGCTACGATTGGAATCTGCGGGGCGCTCTGCTCCGGGGTACCAGCGTCGTATGTTACGCGGACGACACGCTGGTCACCTCTCGGGGCCAGGACTACCGGGAGGCTGCCCGGTTGGCTACCGCCAGTGTGACGCAAGTTGTCGGCAGAATAAGGAGATTGGGGCTCGAGGTGGCGCTCGACAAGACGGAGGTCCTGTGTTTTCATGGGCCCCGTAGAGCGCCGCCGCCAGGAGCCCGTCTCGTGGTCAGCGGCCACAGTCTGGAGGTCAGGCCGTACATCAGGTACCTCGGGCTTGACCTCGACAGTCGCTGGGATTTCCGGTTCCACTTCAGGAACCTGGCTCCTCGTCTTATGGCGGCGGCCGGCGCTCTAAGCTGGTTGCTGCCCAATATCGGGGGGCCGGGTGGCAATTGCCGCCGTCTCTATCTGAATGTGGTGCAGTCGATGGCCCTATACGGGGCCCCCATTTGGCATGGGGCCCTGTCCAGGGAAAACACAGCCACGCTCCTGCGTCCGCAGCGAGCGATGGCTGTGAGGGCCATCCGAGGATACCGCACCATCTCGGGCGAGGCGGCGTGCTTGCTTGCGGGCTCTCCGCCCTGGGACTTAGAGGCAGAATCCCGCGCGTCTCTATATCACTGGCGCGCGGAGGCCAAGGCCCAGGGAGGGGAGCCTTCTGGAGTGGAAATCGCGGAACGGAAATCCCATCTTCGGCGAGTCCTCAGGGAGAAATGGCAGGAGAGGCTGGCGTATCCAACGGCTGGCCTGAGGACCGTCGAAGCTGTCCGTCCTGTACTCAAGAAGTGGATGGGCAGGCGGCGTGGACCGCTGACCTACCGACTTACGCAGGTGCTGTCCGGACATGGCTGTTTCGGGCGGTACCTGTGTAACGTCGCGAGGAGAGAGCCGACAACTTGCTGTCACCAGTGTGGATGCGACCAGGACACGGCGCAGCACGTGCTGGAGGAGTGCCCTGCTTTTGCAGAGGAGCGCCGCGTCTTGGTCGCGGATGTGGGGGACGACCTCTCGCTGCCGAATGTAGTTCGGGAAATGGTCAGGAGCGAGAGGTCGTGGCTGGCAATGGTGGCCTTCTGCGAAGCAGTGATGTCGCAGAAGGAGGCGGCGGAGAGGGAGCGTGAGAACGACCCATCCGCCCCAGTGATCCGCCGCCGGAGGACCAGGCGTAGACGTCGGGACGAGCCCAACTCCGTCCTGACTCTACCCCCCACAGGGGCCGGGGCGATGCCTTGAGGGAGGCGTTGCCCCATAGCCAGGCCCCTGGAGGTGCGCGCGTGTACCCACGCGCCTCCAAGAGTAGGTAGGGTGCGTCCAGAGCACCCTAACCAGAGAGAGGGGGCCCGTCCTACAACATCTACAGGACGGGCCATGCCGCCGGGGTCAGGGTGGAATGCAAATGCGAACCCCTGTCCTCGGCTCAAAGGCACCTCGAGGTATACCGTGTGGTTTTTAGTGAGTCAAGTCTCACACACCACCTCGCCATCCCTCCGGCGAGGTGACGGTCTTTTGAAGATTTTCCACACGTTAAAAAAAAAAAAAAAAAAAAAAAAAAAAGGTTAGGTTAGGTTAGGTTAGGTTGGGTTAGGTTAGGTTAGGTTAGGTTAGGTTAGGTTAAAGGTTAGGTTAGGTTAGGTTAGGTTAGGTTAGGTTAGGTTAGGTTAGGTTAGGTTAGGTTAGGTTAGGTTAGGTTAGGTTAGGTTAGGTTAGGTTAGGTTAGGTTAGGTTAGGTTAGGTTATGTTAGGTTAGGTTAGGTTATGTTAGGTTAGGTTAGGTTAGGTTAGGTTAGGTTAGGTTAGGTTAGGTTAGGTTAGGTTAGGTTAGGTTAGGTTAGGTTAGGTTAGGTTAGGTTAGGTTAGGTTAGGTTAGGTTAGGTTAGGTTAGGTTAGGGTAGGTTAGGTTAGGTTAGGTTAGGTTAGGTTAGGTTAGGTTAGGTTAGGTTAGGTTAGGTTCCCGCCGGTTAGGCGGTTAGGTACGGGGCCCCCAGGTTAGGCCACACAGGGTCATGGTTAGGGTTAGGTTAGGTTAGGTTAGGTTAAGGTTAGGTTAGGTTAGGTTAGGTTAGGTTAGGTTAGGTTAGGTTAGGTTAGGTTAGAATTTAGGTGGAGGATGATCAGTAGCGAGAGATCGTGCGCTGGCCGTGTCAGAGCACACTTCTGCGTGTGAAGGGACTCGCGGAAGGAGGCGCGCGCGAACTATAGCAACGCGCGGAGCGGGAGTCGCGTCCCGCCGCCCTCCGCCGCAGAAGAGCAGGGTTAGGTTAGGTTAGGTTAGGTTAGGTTAGGTTAGGTTAGGTTAGGTTAGGTTAGGTTGGTGTTAGGTTAGGTTTTAGGTTAGGTTAGGTTAGGTTAGGTTAGGTTAGGTTAGGTTAGGTTTTTTTTTTTTTTTTTTTTTTTTTTTTTTTTTTTTTTTTTTTTTTTTTACCTACTTGGCCTACCTCCCCACCGCTGTTTACAACAGGGTGGGCCGTCGTCTAGCTATGGGTCTTATGCTAGGGGGTACAGCCAAGGAAACACACTTAAGCCCGGATGTGAAATTCCAGGTTTTTTACATTGTTTTTTATTGGACACATAACTTTCTTATTTGCTACACTTAAACCTAGAGAGAACTTAATTAGGGATTTACATTACTAAAGGGTATCTATTTTATTTTTGTTTACATACTATTGTTTTTAACCTATTTATGTTTCTTACATATCTAATACATTCTTACTACTACTATTATTCTTTTTATTACTTATATCTATTGCTTATCTATGACTGTATATCCACTATACACCTAGATACAGCTTTACTTATCACTGTTTATATTTATTACCTTGGTTATCACTTCTGTAGCGTACTTTAAAAATTTTCTCTATATTTTCTTTATGCTTTATAATTTCCTTGTAGTTTTCTGTTTTTATTTCGATTCCTAGTTCTATTTCTAAGTCCATTCTTTTCCTTCCAAAGCGAGGGCATTGTGATATAATGTGTAATAGTGTCTCGGGTGTGTGCTGGTCACAAGGGCACGACGGATTCTCGCGGCACCGGAAACGGTGCAGATACGCCCGGAATCCGCCGTGTCCCGTGAACAGCTGGGTGATGTATTTGTCTGCGGTGATTTTGCCGACGACCCTGTACGCATCGGCCGCGCTCGGGAAGAAGAGTTTCGTTACGGAAGCAGTCTCGCCAGACTGGTACCGCCTATCCCATTCGGCAATCGTCCGATCCCGGATCAGACGTTTGGCGAATGAGACCGGACACCAGTCGTAGTCTGACCTCCTCTTCGACTTCAGGGCCGCTTCCTTGGCGAGATGGTCCGCCCTCTCGTTTCCTTCCCACCCCGCATGTGCCTTTATCCAATAGATGTTTATTGATTTTCCTTTTTGCTTACACTTTGTGTGCTGTGTTCTAAATTCTTCCGCTAAGGGGTGGGAGGCTTTAGGATTTGCAACTGTTTGCAATGCGGCTCTGGAGTCGCTGAGGATGCCGATCGTGGTGGCAGGATGTTCCGATGCTATCCCAACCGCCCTGCTCAGAGCCAGGAGTTCCGCCTGGTAGACGGTGCAGTGTGCCGAGAGAGCAAGCTTGAGGGCCTTTGTTTCGGTCGCCCTGTTCCATACCGACAGAGCCGCACCGACCCGGCCCTCAATCTTGCTCCCATCGGTAAATATTCTTATCTCGCAGTCTTGTTGCGCTGTTTTATATTGTTCCTCGTCTACCAGGTCCCGGAACTCCAGCCTCCCCTGCTCGGCCGGATGGGGCTTGTCTGCCGCTGGCGTCATCCGTTCGACTTCCCTGTCTCCCACTAGCCCATCGGCCCTCCCCCTCCTCGCCTCGTACAGTGAGGCAGCCTCACGTATACGTAGGTCTAGAGGGAGAATTCCTGACAGTACCAGTGCGGAGTTCAGGGAAACCGTGCGGTAAGCCCTGCAGATTTTTTGGGCGAAGCCCCTCTGCACCACGCTCAGCTGCCTCCGGAACTCTATCTTCGTCACCGATTCCGACCACGCGCTTGCCGCATACATGATTATCGGCTCCACCACCGCTGTGTATATTGTCCTCGTAACTTCTGGGTGCAGACCCCAGTTCACCTTTGCCGCCCTGGCCAGCTGTTTGTAGATGGCTATCGCCTTCTTACAAACAGCAGCCATATGGGCGTTGAAGGTCAACCGGTGGTCGATGGTAAGTCCCAGAAGTTTGACACTTTCGGTCATGCCTATGGCGACCCCGCCCATGCTCAGACGTGGTGTGTCGTATTTCAGCTTGCGTGTGATTAGCATCGCACATGTTTTGTGCGGTGCGAATCGCAGCCTGCTAACGACACCCCACTTCCGAACATGTTCGAGGGCGGCATTTGCACGACTTTCAATGTCGAGGGCCGTCCACCCATCAAATACCAGCGCGACATCGTCCGCGAACGCTTGGCAGTAGACGCCTTGATGTTCTAGCTGTCTCAATAGGGGGTCTAGGAGGACATTCCACAATAGTGGTCCCCCTATCGAACCCTGCACACATCCTATCTCCGTTTGACGCGTTGCCCGTGCTCCAGCATACCTTACTTCGACTGCCCTGTCCCTCAGGTAGCTATCGATTACTCGTCTCAGATTTACCGGGCATTTTTCCTCAGCCAGCCGGACCCTTATCATCGGCCACCAAGCGCTGTCGAAGGCGCCCTCTATATCCAGGGATATTAGCACTATCATCTTTTTCTCGTGGAGTTTGCTTCTGATGTGACTCATTAGATTATAGAGGGCGTCCTCGGCACTGCGCTGGGGCATGAATCCGTACTGGCGAGTACTAATCCTTGGCAACAGGTGAAATCTGAGACGGGCGACCAGCATCTTCTCGTACACCTTCCCCAAAACCGGTAACAGTCCTATTGGTCTGTACGACTTGGGGTCTGTGTACGAGGTCTTGCCTGGCTTCCTGAGGATCACGACAGTCGCCTCCTTCCATCTTTTAGGAAAAAGCTGCAGCACCAAGCACTTATTCAGCAGGGCTAGGAAGTATGCAGGGTTACCGCCAATCGCTCTCGCACAGATGTCCGCTGTGAACCCATCCGAACCTGGGGCTTTCTTTGGGTTGAAGGACTCAACCGACGCTTCTAATTCCGACATCGTGAAGGGGGGTCAGCAGCAATATCCTCCCTGCAGTTTATCTTTTCTGCTTTCTGCCTTATTTCTTTATGTATTTCAGTGTCCGCCTCTTTATTGTCTCCAGGGTAGAACCTCCGTGCAAGTAGATCGGCTGACCCCTGCGCGTCTAAGACTTTGTCTCCCTCAACCAACATTACGTCCTCTTCCCTAGCCCCTGTCCTACCTATTACCCTATATATGCCCTCCCACATTCCCTCTCGCTCCTGCTTTTCACAGAATCCCCTCCAACTCTCGACTTGTGCTGTTTTTATGGCCTCATGATATTTTTTATTTTGTTTCAGGTAGAGATCCACTACAGCAGCCCTCTGCGACGGCTGTGCGTTTTTGATTCGGCGCCTCCTGGTGACGACCTCACGCTTCATCTTCGTGAGATCGTCCGTCCACCACGGTATGGTAAGTGTGTCTTTGTGTTTTTTGTGTGGTATCGCTTGTGTGCATGCTTGTGTTATTGCTTCCGTGTATTGATCAATGGCGTGTTCGAGTTGTGAGTGTTGTGTAACTGTTTCGAGTTCCTGTGGTGTCATGTGTGTGTCTTGCATAATTTGGGCCAATTTCTCATGAAATTGGCTCCAATTTGCTTTCTTTGTGTTGTAAATGCGTGTGGTTCGTGTTATCTCTGTTCCTTTTGGCTTTGTTAAGTGTACGTGAAATGTAATACCGTTGTGGTCGGAGCTGGTTAGAGAGTCATCTACTCTCCAACCAGTCACCAGGTTAAGTGCCTCCTCAGTGCACGCCGTCACGTCGACGTAGCTACTGTAGTGTTTCCCTCCTCTCCATGTGTCGAAAGTTGGGGAGGATCCTGCATTAAGCACGTTCATTCCTGACTCGCATATAAGCCCGCGCATCAGCTCGCCCCTTCGGTCCTCGAGGAGGCCGCCCCACCAGATGCTCTTCGCGTTAGAATCTCCACCAATGATCAGCCTGTCGGTCCCCAGCCTATCCCTGATCCTCCCTAGCTGCTCCAGGTAAGGCTCTATGGGTTTGTTTGGTTCGAAGTAGAAGGACACAAACGCCATACTCCAGTTCCCAGTACGGACGCCCACCACCACGATGTTGTTTGTGGTGAGTTCCGGGTGTTGGGTGACCTGAAGGCCTCCATCAAACACTATGATGGCGGCCTTCACGCCACCCTCGCCATCCGTCCCGGGAGACTGAAATACTCTGGCTCCTCTGCGTCCCGCTACCCTCCCCTTCCCCCCACATAGGGCTCCTGGAGCAATGCTAGTGAGGCCCTACGGCTGGCGGCCTCCATCAGCAGTTCACTGGTGGCTGTTCTACTCCTTTGCAGGTTTGCTTGGAGCACCAGGTGTTTTCGGGCATTCCCCTCGGTGACCTCAGCAGTACGCTACCGATGCCCGGGCTAACGAGTCCCATCTTTTCCTCACCGGACATACATCGTTGAAGGCCGTGTGGTGCGGGTCCTCTACTTCTGCCAAACGGCAGTTTATACACGTGGGCGTCGCCCCCACTATACGGTCGGTACACTCCGCTGCATGGTGCAGGCCCCCGCAGTAGCTGCACAGGTCCGCGGTATCTTTACAGTACCGCTTACTGTGACCGTACCCCAAACAACGGGTGCACTGCACCAAGGGGGATTGATCCTCTACGCGGACCCTTTGGAGGTCAATGTGTAGTTTCTCCTCCCCGAGTGCCCTTCTCCATACAGTGGGGGAGACGCTCAATACGATATGGTTGGTGTGTGGGTTTCTAGCCTTCTTCCTATATTTTATCATCACGCGGCCCTCCTCTCCGTTGAGGCCATCAAAGACCCCCCGGTTCTGATTCCGGAGCGCCATCAGCACCTCTCCATCCGAGTGCACTTTGATGACGTCCCTCAGAATCAGAAGCGGATCTCGGTTTTTGATGTCCTCGACGGTGAGGCCCTTCCCTGCCTTGCTGATCCTCTCCTTTATTTTTGCCCTATCTGCTTCCTTGACACAACCCACAATCACCTTCCTATCCTTGGCTTTCCTCACCCGCTCCACACGAACCCAACCCTCTTTCGCATCCACCGTCTTCCTGAGCTTTTCCAACACCTCCTCCGCCGTATCCTCCTCATCTGTCGATGCTATCACCACCGAGTGCAGCGTACCTCTCTCTACTACTCCTTTCCCTTTCCCGGTGGCTGCAGCTACCTCGGCGTAGGAGGCGTGGCTTACCCTTTCTTCCTTATCCCTTTCATCCCTTTCTTCCATACTCTTCCGTATCCCTTCCATTCTGTCCCTATTCTCCTTTAAAATTTTGTTGTTGTCCTTTATCCCTTCCAAAATGCTTTCTAATTTCCTATCAATTTCCCCGTCTATTTTTCCCTTTTCCGTATTCTCCCTTTCTACCTGTTTAATTTCCACTATTTTCCCTTCTATCTTCCCATCATTTCTAAGCTTTTCGATTTCCGCTTCCGCATCCTTTATCAGGCTGTACAACCTCTCCACTTGCACGGCCGTATCGTCCTTTAATTCCCTCTTCAAATTTTTGAAGAGGGCTAAATTGCTTTTTGCCTTGTTGTGGCATATCCTAGCTTCTTCCAGTCTAGTCCTGGGTCTTATTACTTTTGGCGCTGTTTTTGCCTCAATTTCTCCTATGCTGCGGCGGACACTCGTGTTTCCACTGCTAAGTTCTTGGGGAGGAGTGATTGTGCTGGCCCTCCTGGTCGGTCTTTGCGGAGTCCTAATTCCAAACATTTTGATGGGTGGACAAAGTGTGTCTTGTTTCGCGTTATGTGCCCTCCCGGACTGTGTGTTTATGTATACTCAGAGCCTGTATAGGGGGTTCTGAGTATGTGAACCTCGCTTTGGGAGTCAATATGTATTTATTGTCAATATTAAATTTTTTAAAATATATGCACCGTACAATAGTTTTTTAAAATAATTTTTATAATAAATTTTTTAAAATGAATTTTTAAAATGAATTTTATTTATATTATTTACTAGTTTTATTTATGTCCTCGTCTGCTATACCTAGTGCCTGTAAATGGGGTCGCTAGGTATATGTCTGTCTGTACTAAGTCCCTTTCCTAACAATTTGTATATATTTATTTAAATAACACTACACTACAATAAGCAACGCAGTGGTATTACAGTGTATAGCGGTATACAGTTTTGTTTTCAATATTATATTATATTCTTATTTCTATTTTATACTCTTTCACCTTTTTGTTTACAATTTTAATATTTCGTTTAACCAATAGATTTTTCCAGTAACAATATTTACTATTTTAAAAGAGAACTTACTTTATTATAATAATATTAAGACAACCTTTATTTATCTATGCTACTATATCTTTAGTTTGTATCTATCCTATACTTTATACTACCTATATTAAAATATCTGAAATAAAATACAATTTTATTCTCAATATTTCAATTTCCTAATTTTACTAATATATCGTGTTTATACACTTTTTATTTATTTATACTGTATACTACTATTTAAATGTTTTAAGAAGGAAGGACTTATCTACTAGTTCTATTTTACTTATTTTGCTTTTACAATTTTAGTTTTATATATTATGTATTGTAGTTTCTATATGTGTTTATTTATATATTTATTTATTAGTTAACTTATGTATACAGCGATCTATGTATTAAAACAAGTATTACGTGTGTACAGTGCTATATAGTCTATTTTTAGTTCCTAATTTTACACAGTTATATTTCTGCAGTTTAGTTTACTATGTCTAACAGACAATCTGAAAAGATACTTAAAGCTACTTATATATATTTTACCGTATATTAATAAATATACTTATCCTATACAATATACACCATACAATATGTTGTACAATTTATTTTTAAAGATTTTATATATTTATTCTAAAAAGGGCAGCGATTTCTAAATCTATCAGGGTGGTCTTTTAGGTCTTGCTGAGACGAATCAAACAAGCCGTCATTCAAGTCTGTAGGGCCTCCAGGGGCCGAGTTAGCTTTAGGGGGGTAGGGCCCTAACGTCACGGGTGAGGGGGGTTTCACTCTGGTGCGCGAGCGCGGTATAGAGTAGCTACTCAATGTGTATCCGCGTGTCCTTATGTTATTGTTATAATAATGAGTAACAGGATATGGTTATAGTTTGGGTATGGGATATGGGAGATGGTTAATTTTCTATTTATTCTAACTATTATAAAATGTATTTTGTATATATTCTATATTATTACTTTAACTTTTAATTTGTAATTTCTCAATATTTAGATGTATTACTTTATATGAACTTTTATATATATATATACTTGGCTGGGTGTAGTTGGGGTGTAGGGGGTTTAGGAGGGAGGGGAACTATTCCAGTATTTTGTTTTAATATGTTTTTTATATTTAT